AATGAGATTCTCTATAATTGTTTTCTCTTTAAAAGTTTCTCTATAAAATAAATTTTCTATAAACGAGATTCTCCACAAAATCATTCTCTATAAATGAGATTCTCTATAAACGACATTCTCTATAATTGTTTTCTCTTTAAAAGTTTCTCTATAAACGATATTCTTTATAAACTACATTCTCTACACTTGTTTTCTCTATAAAAGTTTCTCTATATTTGCATTCTCTATAAAAGATTCTCTGTAAAGACGGGATATCCAAAATTATACTATTTTTTATTTGTAGTATTAATATTAATATTGAAAAAGAAATATAAGAAATATTCTCATCAAAATAAAGGCCCATTTTTTAAAAATTTTTCTCTAACCTTTATAATTTTTCGCTTCTCTCTCTCAAAAAAAAAATATTTTCCTGTCTAATATTTTTCTTAAATTTTTGACACAGACCTATTTTTAAAAAAACGAGTTAGGATATTGTATTCATTTCTCCTTACAATACCCATTCTATTTTTCGCTTTTTATTTTAAAAATTATATAAAAAAATTTTAAATCAATTCAGGGTTTGGCAAATTTTCGAAAAAAAAATTCGAATATAAATATAAATTACGTTTAAAAATATGTATTTTATAATATTTTAAATAAATACTTGCAAAATAAGCAAAAAAAAGTTATCAGATCAGAGTAAATCTTTGAAAATTTTTCTTGAAATTTTTACCTAAAAATTGTAAAACTTTTTTAAGTAAATTTTTATAATTTCCATGCATAAAAAATCTTTCAAGATAAAATCAAAAATTTTTTAATTTTTTCAAACTCTAATTCAATTACATTCAAAGAATTTGTAAATAATGTTGTATCGATAAATTTCCAGGTATTTTTATTTTACAATTATATCACAGACACACAGAGTTTTTAAAGTAGCGAGCTACTTGTAGCGCGCTATTTTTTTTGGTAGCTATAGCTAATAGCGGCTACTTTTTTGCAATTATTTAATTTTTTAGCGGGCTTCTTTTAAAAAATATAATGTAATTAATAATACAAATGCCAATATTTCTCAGAAATTGGCTGATAGTTATTATTGATTTTATAAATTATACAGTTCAGCCAATGTCCTTGGTTGATAATCCATCATTTACCATGATGATTAAAACTCTATCCACTGGTACAACAATTTTATGTCGCCAGACACTAATGAATAAAATAGCAGATAATTTTAAAGTGATGAAAGATGTAATAGTAGAGTTATCAGAGATATCATATATATGTACCACGGCAGATAGTTGGACACATAACAGAAGGTAAAAACTTATAAAATGCAACAAATTACCATAAATATTTATTTTTATTACATAAATTTTTTTATAATCAAAACTAACTATATTTTAATATTTATAAATGTTGATTATATATTTACTATACAATAACATTATAAGCAAAAAATAAAACAAATTTGTTTCTAAATTTTTTTTATAAAATTAGCTTAAAAAGTAGCTAATAGCGCGCTACTTTTTTTGACAAATAGCTATAGTGCGCTAAATTTTTTTACAAATAGCGATAGCGCGATACTTTTAAAAGTAACGATTAACAACTCTGCAGACACAGAATTATTATCATAACATTATTTAATTTATAGAGCATATATTTGAAACCATTTTAAATGATTAATTGTGATTTTAATTTATAATTAATTTTATCAGGACCCTGATGGCTCTTCCAGGTACTCTGATAATAATACCTGATAAACATCATAATATCTTAATTCGGTGGAACTGGAATCTATATCTTCTTAGTTCTTTTCTTACCACTTTCAAAATTTTTTAGTTTCATTTTTAGTGTGAATATAAAATAGGAAAAAACAGATGAATTTTGATTCTTTTCTCTAACTCGGATCATAAAATTAATATTTAAAGAGATAAATTGTGGGTAGCATAATTCAATTTGTAACATAATATATAAAAATCTAGAAATATTTGTATATAAGATACTTTTTAATTTTTATTATTTAAAATATAAAATAAATACTCCCTTCAATTTAATACTAAATATAAATATAAGTATTTGTATTTAGTATTTTAAATACAGGTATTCACTGCTGCCCAACTCTGAATCAACTTTATATATAAAGATTCTCATCTATATATATAATCCTCAAAAAACGTCAATCAAATTTAGCCAATAGTGTTCTTTTAAAAAAATTCGTCCAATAAAAATCATCATAGCTTATTCGGTCCAATGATAATATCATACGAAATTCAAACATTCATGCACTTAAGCTACCATTTCCTTCATTTCAAATATCATAAACATCTTATAAACCGTGACTAGAACTAACGCCCGTGATATTTAGTAAAATATACTATAACTAACACCCGTGATATTTAGAAAAATATACCAGAATTAACACCCATGATTATTAATAACATTTTATCGGAGAACAATTCATTTTCACATGATAACCCAATATTTAAAAATGTTAAATCGAATAATAGGGAGAACAACATAGTATAGGAGTTAAACAAAGTTATAATTTTTTTTAACTTACCTTATTTTTAAATTTTAAACAATAGCAACTTGCCAAAGTATAGGAGTTAGACCCAGTAGATATATCATTACAAAATACTTTTAAAGTAATAATTTTTTTTAACTTACTTTATTGAATATATAAAATTTACCTATATTTTTATTTATGAATAATATTTAAAATAAAATTAAGACAACATAAATTTAAGAAACTTATTAGAGGGATTAATAAAATAATTAATGTAACTATAATATATAAAAACAAGTTAAATTATAGCATGATGAAAAGAAGGATAAGAAATTTTGTAATTTTGAATGTATAAAATTTACCTTAATTTTATTTAGGTAATATTTGAAATAAAATTAAGATAAGGGATTAAGAAAATAACTAATGTACTATAATATATGGAAAACAAGATTATAGCATGTCTTTTTTTAAAGATTCAAGAAAGCTTCATGTGTTAACCCATGCTTATAAATGTGAAACACTTCCATACAAGCAATTCAAATTCACAAAAAATTGTTCATTCAAAAGATAACAAATATAAATGCTATTTGATTTCATATATATATGTATATATAGTTACAAATTTATACCCATTAATTGTAATATATGTGCCAATAAAATAATGATAGGTTTGTAATAAATTTTGAATTTTATCATGTTAATAAAAAAGAATTTAACCAATCTGGCCTAATTTTTTTAAGCTCAACCATAGGCTATTTTTTTAAATTCTAATTGTTTTGTTCCAAGTATAAGATAATTTTAATTTAATTTTAACTAAATTAATTGACTTCTTTATAGGGATTGGTTTAATTATCAAAAGTTGTAAAATATTTATGCCTTCAACTTATAATATATATATATTCAGCCTTTGAAATTTTTGGGCCTTGATCCTTTATACTCAATCCAGACATAAAAGGTACATTATCTAAGAGATCACAATTTTATAGCATACAATTCAGAGTTTGTTTTATAACTAGAAGAATAAATATTTTTATTATTTGGTGAAGAGGAAATGAGATTGGTAATTTATTAAAAAACAATATACAAAATTTTATATGAAATATAGATGTTCTACCATCAAAAATTTTTGAAAAATTAAAATTGTGATCTCTCAGATAATATATCATTATGTCTGGACTGAGTAAAAAGGCTCAAGATACAAAAATTCTAAGGTCGAATAAAAATACTATAAGTTGTATGGGTAAATATTTTACCATTTTTGACAAATAAACTTATTCCTAAAAAATTTTTTTAATAATTTAACTAAAATCAAATTAAACCTATTTGATTTATAATATATTTCTCTCAACTTTTAATTTAAGATACCTAATTTCCTCTTCATCAAACATTAAGTATCTATATTCTTAGAAGACCAGATAACTTTGAACCATTCACAATTATGTAGCATTTAGTTATTTTATCTTTCATTTTATTCATTTTGCCCTACACGATGATAGTGAAATCAGAATATTCTCCTTTATTTGTTGATGGATAATTTAGAAATTTCCCCTTTATTTTTCTTATTTAAGCTGATTCAACGTTCATCAAATATAGGATAAAATTTCTATTCCCTGTCATTTTTGATGAGAGCTGTGATTCAGATATTTACCATTATTTTTCTGATTTATCTATGATCACAAAGTGGAAATTTCTAAACATATTTATCATATTTAAAAAGTTCTAATAGGTAAAGGGATGAGAGGGATATTTGATTTTTGGGACATACTAAACAATTGACACTATTAATCTACATTATTTTTAACTAGCTGATACCCCATATGGATAAAAATTTAGAGCATGAATCCAAAAAAGAAATTATTGTGGATGACAAAATTAATGAAGAAGATGAAAACCGAACAGCCTAAGGAATCTTTTCTTACAGCAGACTTACTATCGCCAATATTCAATCCAACTATCTAAGTTTTATATCTTCCATCGAATAATCTTTCATGCCTAATTATGTTTTCTTTCTTCCCTTCTCCTTCCTAGTTTTTATCTACTATTTTCTTTTTATAGATCTTTTTTAAATCCCTTATCTTTTCTCCTAAATTCCATTTTTATATTTTTCACCTTCAATAATTTTATCTTAATAATATATTAAATCGCCTATTCAAATAAATAAACCAATGACCAGTTAAAAAAACTTTTAATATCATAGAATTTTTGGTGTATTTTATATTACAGTAATCATGATAAGTCATTTATGTTAGTAATATTTTTTAAAATAAAACATATGATGTGCCTAAATTAGCATAAGCATATATCAAAATGACTAAATATAATATAAAAACCTTTTCAAATCTGTAATATATTCTTAAAACATTATAAAGAATAGGTAATGTTTTTAAAAAATAATTAATCTATGTGAGCTAGTTGACTGTTCCTCTATAATAAATATTTTATCTTAATTAAAATTTTGTAATAAAAATAAAAGAATATAAAATATCATCTATAATTATATTTAAAGTGTAAAATTTACCTTTTCCAGTTTTTCAAAATAATCTTGTAAGAATTTTATAGGGTTATCAGGTCTAGTTATACAAAGTTGAACTATAGAATCTTTTAAAATTTGTTGTATTTTATGTTTTTCAACGTAATCTTCACACTCTTTTAAAGTCTTTTCTTGTTCTTCTGCCATAAAAAAAAAGATAAGTTTTGTATGCCAATATGCAAATATGGAGATATTGATTTTTAAAAATATCGAATAATCGTTCCACGGAAAAAGATTTTATTCTTTATATACCTAGATACCAGTATTTTAAAAATATCAAAAAGACATGAGATACTAGGATCTTTTGCTAAATTAGAGTATCTCAAATACAGAGATACTTTTATAAAATGATCATTACCTATTAAATTTGAATAGTTAAGAATAAAGGAACATTTTTTATGAAGAACATATAAGTATATACTATATTGGAAAGGATATATCAATTCATTTAAAATTTTTATCGTAACGAACACTGTGAAAATTAACAATTAAGTGGCTTCCACCGCTCTTATAAGGCATTTCAGTGCATTGGATTTCACTGATTGGTACTAATTTACCCTACTGTCACCCGTTTAATTAAAGAGAGTATAACGGTATCTTTTTAAAGATAAAGGATAGAATAAGAAATAAGAAATTATATATTTTTATATATTTCTATGGATTAGTATACTTATTTTATTTTTGGTTACTTTGTGATATTTATGAATTCGAAAAGCAAAAAATATATTTAAAAAATAAAACAAAACATGTTTGTGTTTATAATTTCTTCTCAAATGATTTATCGTTTCATAAAGCAGACGATTCCCTATTTTTAAAATTAATCTGAGACATTCATATGAAATTATAATATACTATATTGAAATTTTTATATATCAATATAAAGTTTATTTGCAATTGTTGCATCTGCCAGTTATAATTATCATTTATTGACAGTTGTCCTTAATTCATATTCGAGAAGAAGGTAATATTAGTTTTATGTACAGTAGGGTAAATTTTCTGCCAAACAGTGAATGCAAATTCACTGCACTGGAGACGCCCTCTATGGGGTGGTGGAGTGCCCACTTAATTGTGGGACGTCTCCCCAGTGTATAGTAATATGATATAATTATTATTTATTGAGTTTTTGCGCATTTTTAAAAATAAGAAATCTCACCTCCAAGAAATAATGATATATATCAATTCTACAAATACTTCTATCGCTCACAATTTCATTTTCAAGCACACTATATTCCTTAAATATTTACTTTGCGACTACATACATTTTTTATGACATGAAAAGCCTGACTTCTACTCTTCTGAATCAAAACTCTAGTAAATTCTTTCAAATGCATGGAAGATGTTTGGGAGAGTAATGAGACTCTTTTTTTAATTGCTGAGGATTATACATAACCCATAATAAATCTCTGTTAAGTTATTACTTTTATTCATTAATTTTTTATTTTTTCTAGATTCAAAGAAATAAATTTTCTTCTTTATTTACTAATTTATCTCAATCAATTCATCATAACTTAATTCTTTCTTATCTTCTCCAATTCTTTACCTAAGCTACTATAAAGTTTAGCAAGTACCATTATAAATCATCTATTTATCTTTTATTTCAATTATTTATTTCCTTTAACAATTTATTTTTTCTATATATTAATCTTATTAACTTAATTTAAACAAAATAATATAAATCAACATTTAATATAATTACAACTTCTTTCTTAAACAAAATTTAACTTTAATCCTCTCTTAAAACTCAATTTCATGGATATTTTCTTATTCATCATTTCTCTTGTCTGCTTTTTGCCTTTTCAATTTTCCAAGTATTGTCTGCTTGTTTTTTCCCCATTTTTTTCTATTTCAAAATTCAAATTTATCTTACAATTTACTTTAAAATTTATATTATGTCAATTTTCAAAAATCTAACAATCTACTCCTACAACATTCCTGGCCTATTTTCAAAAACAACTATACTTAGGAAACTCCTTGATCAATATGATATTAACATTTTTTTAACACAAGAATCTCTTATTACTAATAATATAAAAAAAAAAAAGAGAAAACAAAACAAAAACGAGAAAACAAAAAATAAATAAATTACAAATTATAAAAACTAACTCTTCTTCCTCTTTACTCCTTCAACCCCCCCCCCTCTCCTCCTTTTTTCTAATACATATTCCTATCTTATCTTATATAATAAATAAACATTATTTACAATGTGGATCCTGGCTTATCCACGAGTGGTACCCGTCATCCCACTCAAATTAAACGGGACCCTGACAGTAGGCTAAATTACTGTCAACTTTGTGGATCCTGGCTTATCCACGAGTGGTACCTGTCATCCCACTCAAATTAAACAGGACCCAGACAGTAGGGTAAATTTTCTGCCAAACAGTGAATGCAAATTCACTGCACTGGAGACACCCTCTATGGGGTGGTGGAGTGCCCACTTAATTGTGGGATGTCTCCCCAGTGTATAATATGATATGATATGATATGATAGGGTAAATTTTCTGCCAAACAGTGAATGCAAATTCACTGCACTGGAGACACCCTCTATGGGGTGGTGGAGTGCCCACTTAATTGTGGGACGTCTCCCCAGTGTATAATATGATAATATGATATGATTATTATTTATTTAGTTTTTTGCGCATTTTTAAAAATAAGAAATCTCACCTCCAAGAAATAATGATATATATCAATTCTACAAATACTTCTATCACTTACAATTTCATTTTCAAGCACACTATATTCCTTAAATATTTACTTTGCGACTACATACATTTTTTTATGACATGAAAAGCCTGACTTCTACTCTTCTGAATCAAAACTCTAGTAAATTCTTTCAAATGCATGGAAGATGTTTGGGAGAGTAATGAGACTCTTTTTTTAATTGCTGAGGATTATACATAACCCATAATATATCTCTGTCAAGTTATTACTTTTATTCATTAATTTTTTATTATTTCTAGATTCAAAGAAATAAATTCTCTTCTTTATTTACTAATTTATCTCAATCAATTCATCATAACTTAATTCTTTCTTATCTTCTTCAATTCTTTACTTAAGCTACTATAAAGTTTAGCAAGTACCATTATAAATCATCTATTTATCTTTTATTTCAATTATTTATTTCCTTTAACAATTTATTTTTTCTATATATTAATCTTATTAACTTAATTTAAACGAAATAATATAAATCAACATTTAATATAATTACAACTTCTTTCTTAAACAAAATTTAACTTTAATCCTCTCTTAAAACTCAATTTCATGGGTATTTTCTTATTCATCATTTCTCTTGTCTGCTTTTTGCTTTTTCAATTTTTCCAAGTATCGTCTGCTTATTTTTTCCCCATTTTTTTTCTATTTCAAAATTCAAATTTATCTTACAATTTACTTCAAAATTTATATTATGTCAATTTTCAAAAATCTAACAATCTACTCCTACAACATTCCTGGCCTACTTTCAAAAACAACTATACTTAGGAAACTCCTTGATCAATGTGATATTAACATTATAACACAAGAATCTCTTATTACCAATAATATTAAAAAAAAAAAGAGAAAACAAAACAAAAAAGAGAAAACAAAAAAAATAAATAAATAAATTACAAAAACTAATTCTTCTTCCTCTTTACTCCTTAATCACCCCCCCCCCTTTTTTCTAATACATATTCCTATCTTATCTTTTATAATAAATAAACATTATTTACAATGTGGATCCTGGCTTATCCACGAGTGGTACCCGTCATCCCACTCAAATTAAACGGGACCCTGACAGTAGGGTAAATTACTGTCAACTTTGTGGATCCTGGCTTATCCACGAGTGGTACATGTCATCCCACTCAAATTAAACGAGACCCAGACAGTAGGGTAAATTTTCTGCCAAATGGTGAATGCAAATTCACTGCACTGGAGACGCCCTCTATGGGGTGGTGGAGTGCCCACTTAATTGTGGGACGTCTCCCCAGTGTATAATATGATATGATTATTATTTATTGAGTTTTTTGCGCATTTTTAAAAATAAGAAATCTCACCTCCAAGAAATAATGATATATATCAATTCTACAAATACTTCTATCACTCACAATTTCATTTTCAAGCACACTATATTCCTTAAATATTTACTTTGCGACTACATACATTTTTTATGACATGAAAAGCCTAACTTCTACTCTTCCGAATCAAAACTCTAGTAAATGTTTTCAAATGCATGGAAGATGTTTGGGAGAGTAATGAGACTCTTTTTTTTAATTGCTGAGGATTATACATAACCCATAATATATCTCTGTCAAGTTATTACTTTTATTCATTAATTTTTTATTTTTTCTAGATTCAAAGAAATAAATTCTCTTCTTTATTTACTAATTTATCTCAATCAATTTATCATAGGTTAATTCTTTCTTATCTTCTCCAATTCTTTACCTAAGCTACTATAAAGTTTAGCAAGTACCATTATAAATCATATATTTATCTTTTATTTCAATTATTTATTTCCTTTAACAATTTATTCTTTCTATATATTAATCTTATTAACTTAATTTAAACAAAATAATATAAATCAACATTTAATATAATTACAACTTCTTTCTTAAACAAAATTTAACTTTAATCCTCTCTTAAAACTCAATTTCATGGATATTTTCTTATTCATCATTTCTCTTGTCTGCTCTTTGCTTTTTCAATTTTTCCAAGTATCGTCTGCTTATTTTTTCCCCATTTTTTTTCTATTTCAAAATTCAAATTTATCTTACAATTTACTTTAAAATTTATATTATGTCAATTTTCAAAAATCTAACAATCTACTCCTACAACATTCCTGACCTACTTTCAAAAACAACTATACTTAGGAAACTCCTTGATCAATATGATATTAACATTATTTTAACACAAGAATCTCTTATTACCAATAATATTTAAAAATAAAAGAGAAAACAAAACAAAAAAAATAAATAAATAAATTACAAAAACTAATTCTTCTTCTCTTTACTCCTTAATCACCCCCCCCCCTTTCTCTAATACATATTCCTATCTTATCTTTTTTAATAAATAAACATTATTTACAATGTGGATCCTGGCTTATCCACGAGTGGTACCTGTCATCCCACTCAAATTAAACGGGACCCTGTCAGTAGGGTAAATTACTGTCAACTTTGTGGATCCTGGCTTATCCACGAGTGGCACCTGTCATCCCACTCAAATTAAACAGGGCCCAGACAGTAGGGTAAATTTTCTGCCAAACAGTGAATGCAAATTCACTACACTGGAGACGCCCTCTATGGGGTGGTGGAGTGCCCACTTAATTGTGGGATGTCTCCCCAGTGTATAATATGAATATGATATGATTATTTTATTACAGTCTTAAATAGAAATACGTATATGTGAATCTTATTCATTAAATGGACTTTTTTCGTCTGCGAGAAAATGGCTGATGTTAAATCGCACCTCCAAGAAATAATGATATCTATCAATTCTACAAATACTTCTATCACTCACAATTTATTTTCAAGCACACTATATTCCTTAAATATTTACTTTGCGACTACATACATTTTTTATGACATGAAAAGCCTGACTTCTACTCTTCTGAATCAAAACTTAGTAAATTCTTTCAAATGCATGGAAGATGTTTGGGAGAGTAATGAGACTCTTTTTTTAATTGCTGAGGATTATACATAACCCATAATATATCTCTGTCAAGTTATTACTTTTATTCATTAATTTTTTTATTTTTTCTAGATTCAAAGAAATAAATTCTCTTCTTTATTTACTAATTTATCTCAATCAATTCATCATAACTTAATTCTTTCTTATCTTCTCCAATTCTTTACCTAAGCTACTATAAAGTTTAGCAAGTACCATTATAAATCATCTATTTATCTTTTATTTCAATTATTTATTTCCTTTAACAATTTATTTTTTCTATATATTAATCTTATTAACTTAATTTAAACAAAATAATATAAATCAACATTTAATATAATTACAACTTCTTTCTTAAACAAAATTTAACTTTAATCCTCTCTTAAAACTCAATTTCATGGATATTTTCTTATTCATTTCTCTTGTCTGCTTTTTCAATTTTTCCAAGTATCGTCTGCTTATTTTTTCCCCATTTTTTTCTATTTCAAAATTTTAATTTATCTTACAATTTACTTTAAAATTTATATTATGTCAATTTTCAAAAATCTAACAATCTACTCCTACAACATTCCTGGCCTACTTTCAAAAACAACTATACTTAGGAAACTCCTTGATCAATATGATATTAACATTATTTTAACACAAGAATCTCTTATTACCATTAATATAAAAAAAAAAAGAGAAAACAAAACAAAAAAAATAAATAAATTACAAATAACAAAAACTAATTCTTCTTCCTCTTTACTCCTTAATCACCCCCCCCCCTCCCCTTTTTTCTAATACATATTCCTATCTTATCTTTTATAATAAATTCACATTATTTACAATGTGGATCCTGGCTTATCCACGAGTGGTACCCGTCATCCCACTCAAATTAAATGGGACCCTGTCAGTAGGGTAAATTACTGTCAACTTTGTGGATCCTGGCTTATCCACGAGTGGTACCTGTCATCCCACTCAAATTAAACAGGGCCCAGACAGTAGGGTAAATTTTCTGCCAAACAGTGAATGCAAATTCACTGCACCGGAGACGCCCTCTATGGGGTGGTGGAGTGCCCACTTAATTGTGGGATGTCTCCCCAATGTATAATATGATAATATGATGATTATTATTTATTAGACTTTTTTCATCTGCGGGAAAATGGCTGATGTTAAATCGCCACCTTCGAGAAATAATGATATCTATTAATTCTACAAAAACTTCTATCACTCACAATTTCATTTTCAAGCACACTATATTCTTTAAATATTTACTTTGCGACTACATACAGAATTCCAATAAATCTCTGAATATCTTGGATGGTTATGCATATGTTAGGTCTATTCATTTGTTTAGCATAAATATTACTTTGTTCTACAATTAGGGAATATAAGTCTTCGTCGAAAATTAAACAAAATATATCTGATCGACTTTTACCATGTAAATCATTTTCAAGTTTTATTACATCTTCCTTTTCTCCATTGAAAGGGCTTGAAGAATATATTGCATCCGTTTTTCTCCATTTTAAATTGTGAGAAATTCGAGAATAGCTTCTTGTAGAATATGGTTCTGGAAGGTCGTCATCAACTGAATTATGAATCTCCAATTCTCCAGCTGTATCTGAAGGCAAAACTCCGACATTTGTTAAGTCATTTTCATCGAAATCTTCTTCATCACTAACTGCAGAGGGGTTTGGCGGAATTATAACCATATCTCTTTCTTCAATTGGTTCCTCTTCAAAAAGTTGAGCAAGCGCTTGTTCAATTGTTAGAAAACGTTTCATTAAAAAAATTTATTAAAAATTAAATATCTAGACAAATTATTTTCGTAGAATCTTGATTTTTTTATTAGTCATCTATTATTTTGATAATTTTGATTGAATTGACAAAACAGGTGCATAATAATTTATATAAATAAAATAAAATCTTCAGAAAGGAAAAGGCTAAAAATAATTTTAAACTTTTGAATATTTATGAACCTAATAATTTCATATAATTTGATCGGGATAAAAAATTATAATAGGAACAATATATTATTCGATTTAATCTCAGGGGAAAAAAATTTTTTTTAATTATTTTCAAAAGGTCTTTTTTGGGTATAAAATTTTTTTAAAAAATTCTTAAGGGGCTCGAGCCACCCACTCCTCCCCTTCCCACCCTTAGTGACGGTAGTGGTTTTAAGTATAATATAAAAAATTATAATTCATTATGTTAAATTTCATTTGTTTGAATTTTTTTAAATAATATATACTGCTAGATGGTTAACGGTGCATATATGCACCAGTCAACTTTATGTGGTTACCTACTAAAATATTAATTATTTAAAAATTCAAAAATGATTGATAAATATTGATATATCTATAAAGAATATATACACACTAGTTTTCATCGAAATAATTTTATAATATGCTGGTGAGATCACTTAGAAAATTTTCATTTTAGACC